GGACAAGAGTGGACAAACGTTTTATTGATGTTTTTGCGAATCAGCAAGATTTAGAACTGGTTGACGATTGTCTGCTTTATAAAGATAGAGTGATTATACCAAAAATATATCAAAAAAACATTCTAAAAATCTTACACAACAATCACTTTGGAATCGTAAAGATGAAGCGTTTGGCTAGGCGAATGGTTTATTGGTATGGAATCAATGCAGACATAGAAAAATATGTTTTTTTTGTTTATTAATTTATTTGATAAGGCTCAACCGAATTAACTTTACAGAGCCGAGGATTCTTGGTCACTATACAATACATCTTAAAACTATAGTCAAAAGATACAACACAATAAATACTTTATCTTCCGCTATCCAAAAAGCCTCCTCCATCATAACTGGAGCCGCTTCTAGTAGTTTCATTGTATGGCAAATTGTTGTACGCCAACGAGGGTCAGAGCGCGTCCATTGCAGCAATGGAAGCAAAACGTGGTCAGCACTCACACATTCATCACGAAACGGTTGCTTTCCAAAGTCGACGACGCATCGACCGAAAGAACTGCTGATGAAGAACAATGAGGAGGACCACACAATGGTTGCTGCCGCGAAAACAGACGATCGCGTGGCACACATCGAGAGTGGCCTGCTTTTGCCGACAGCCGAGTGAACACTGAGAAAAAAGAAATATATGTTGCAGGCTGTGATGTTTGCAACAGTATGGCTATTTCCCAAAAATCTAAAGAGACCTCCAAATGGACACCAACCACTGAACCATTTAGCAGAATTCATATAGATTTTTTTCTTTTTCGAGCATCGGACTTACCTGTTAATCGTTGATAGCTTCTCCAAATGGATTGAGATCGAATGGATGAAACAGGGAACTAATTGTAATATGGTGTTAAAAAAACTAGTAGCAGTTTTCGCTCGTTTTGGTTTACCAGATGTATTAGTGTCAGACAATGGTCCTCCGTTTAACTCTCACAGTTTCATAACCTTTCTTGAAAGGCAAGGTATCAAGGTGATGAAAAGTCCACCGTACAATCCCTCAAGCAACGGACAAGCAGAAAGATTAGTCAGAACTGTTAAAGAAGTGTTGAAGAAATTCTTAATGGATCCAGGGATTGGAGAGTTAGATCTGGAAGACCAGATTAACTTGTTTCTATTTTATTTTAGAAACAACAATTTGACTGGTGACGGGCATTTTCCGTCAGAAAGAATATTTTCCTATGTGCCAAAGACTATCTTAGATTTAGTAAACCCGAAGAAATATTACAAAAAGCAATTATCCGTATCACCACCAGAGGATGAAATCATCCAACCTAAGTTGGACGGGAAAATCCCGAAGCAATCTAATGATGCAATAGATAAACTGATGGATGGTGATGTAATATGGTACAAGAATAACAACCCACACCATCCCGCAAGATGGATTAAAGCAACATTCATTAAAAAGTACTCTCAACACATTTTCCAGATACATGCTGGAAGCGCGGACGTAATGGCGCATCGCAGCCAAATGAGGATTAATAGGGAGGCAACAGGATGGCAACGGCCCAACATAGTAGTGTTGAAAACGGATACGAACCGCGACCAAGAACCCGATAGTACCACTGCTATTGGCGAAGCTGAGACGGGCAATGACCGGGATATCGAACGAGACCCAGTTCAGAAACGAAGAAAGAGAAAGCTGAATAATTCAGTAATCGAAGAACCGCGAAGATCGAAGAGAAGAAGAAAAATGAAGATAGATGAAGAGTTTTGCTATAAGTTCTGATTGTTTACATTATCGAATTTTTAAGATTGTTGAATTTGATGATACATGAAAATAATGTGAATACAAAGTTTGACGAAGGTCAAGTTCTAATGTATGTCAACACGTTCTCCGAAGGGGGAAGAATTGTAGTATTTTCATTTAGCGTGTACCTCCATGCGCATGCGCAAACGACATGCTTCGGTTCACCTTCGGGCGAAGTTTTTGGTAAACATAGTTTTCAACCGATCTAGAAAATAAACGATCGACAGTTTTGGTTGAAACTTCAAACGAACTAGTTTACTTTTTATCGCGTTCCTACCCATTATAAAATCTACTCCGTTTACGCAGTCCTCCTCATCAGTTGATAAATCGGTTGTCTTTCGCTAGTGAGCAGAAATATAAAACTCAGGAGTTCTTAGAAATCTTCGGAAGTTCTTGGAAAGTTTCAAACTTTCAAAAAGTTCCGAAGACTCAACTTAAGTTCTGTAATATTCTGAGACGTTCGGATAACCTCTAAAAGGTTCTGTGACATTCTGAAAAAAATATTAAATGATCCGAGGAATTCAGTCATGTTCTTAATCGTAGGACTTCTGGGTAGTTCTGAGAACTTCAGAGTAGTTTTGAAAACTTCTGATGAGTTCTGAGATTTATTTTTCATGGATAACATTCTCCACGTTAAGGACGGACATCTCCCTTCACACTGTCTCGAACTTTGGACAGTCGAGAACCACATGCTCCGGCGTTTCATCGAAGTTGCCATACTCCGGACAAAGGGGTTACACCAACAATCAATACGAAACTAACGATTTTAAATTGGCTCACTACTTGACTAGCCTATTGGTCCCAAGCAAACGATTAACGTACCCCATTCTAGTCGAAATTCTAGTACTACGCAATGTTTGTTTTGATTCGCTATGAAAGTTTGACAGATAAAATGAGGAGTTACTGGTTTTTCCTATGTTTCGAGGGGTGAATCGATTAGCTTCATAGCAAAAAAATAATTTTGATATCACGTCAAAGTGGATGCACTACAATCATGTCGAAAATATGGTGTAATATTACTTGCTAAAAAGGACAAAATTATCATTAATACAATGCATGAACTGACATTACGCTGCTTTTACTGCATTTGTTTATTTATGTGGTCATAAAAATTACATGAAATTTTCGATATGATTGTAGTGCATCCACTTTGATGTGATATCAAAATTAATTTTTTGCTGTGTTGGGACCGAAGAGAGTACCAGAGTTGAGCCAAAAAGATGAGCACGTTTTTTCGGGACCTTCTAGTCTTAGAGTTACCTGTATGGTTACACTGCGTTTTTGAACCGATGCAGGTATTACCTGAAGCAGCTATGGCCAGACAGGAACTGCGTTAGGTGGAAGTTGACTTTTCCGTGTTTTCTGTTCACCCAGGTCGAAAGAATCGGTATTAGCATAGAGGTAACTCTAAGACTAGAAGGTCCCGAAATAACGTGCTCAACTTTTTGGCTCACCTCTGGTACTCTCTTCGGTCCCAAGCTAATCGATTCACCCCTCGAAACATAGGAAAAACCAATAACCCCTCATTTTATCTGTCAAACTTTCATAGCGAATCAAAACAAACATTGCGTAGTGCTAGAATTTTGACTAGAATGGGATACGTTAATCGTTTGCTTGGGACCAATAGGCTAGTCAAGTAGTGAGCCAATTTAAAATCGTTAGTTTCGTATTGATTGTTGGTATTAGTCTATGTGTCCATCTGCCGTTCTCGACCGTGTTCCACTCCTATTGCCACTTTGCCAACGACTCCGCTCTCACAACTTTGCGTACTCTTCCGCCTTCTCTTCGCTTGTAGCACTCGCTGTCCGCCGCCAGGGTTATGACGATAGAGATCATTCCAGCGATAACGCATACTGCTTCCGACGAGATGGGTATGTATGCACTCACGACTCGCATGACCATGAGCCGGAACATACTGCTCAGTTTCCTTTGGTTCTGCTTGGTTTCCAGCGCTGCAATCCAGGCTGGACCCTCATACCTCAGTATCAACGACGACACACTGGTCAGAAGACGCCATGATTGTACCTATTGCGTTGATAGCCTTCGAAGCCTTCTCATAGGCATATTCGACGTGGCTGTTGAAGTTGAGCCGGTCATCGATCATCACTCCCAAGTATTTCAAACCACGCTTCGAGGCTATGGCGTGCTCCCCGACGGTGATTAACGCCCACTGCACCGCTTTACAGTTACTGACCAATAGCACTTCCGTTTTGTGGTGGGCTGTCTGCAGCTTCACTCCTTGCATCCAGTTACCCATCATCTCGATCGCCTCGGTCGCCAACACTTCCTCCTCTTCCAGCGTCTCGCCTGTTAACGTCAAGCCGACGTCGTCCGCAAAGCCAACGATCTCAAGTCCTTTGGGTAGCTTCAGCATTAGTACGCCGTTGTACATCCCGTTCTAATGCGTTGAACCAAGGATGGAGCCTTGTGGAACTCCCGCTGTGATCCTAATCGATCTATGTCCCATATCTGTCGATTTACTCACATCTTAAAAAGCCGAAATGTCTCCAGAACCAAATATTACAATACATTCAATCCCCCGAGATCTGACCAGATTTACGATGCTGCAGGATCTTTATCAAATATCAATACAGTTTAGAGCATATTTGGCTTTTAATTGCCCACAATTGTGGCCAAACGACCGGATTTAAGTGCCTTACGGTAAATAGTTAATGCAAAAAAAAACGGTATCACATCGAATCAATCAAAACAGTTATAATGCCGACAGCAAATTAAACGAACCTACTTTGAAGATCCTACTACCCAATGAATAAAACAATTGCCGGTCTTGAGTTTAGAGCAAGGTGGCTTCGACTCGCTTCGCTATTAAAATCATTAGATGTAATAATGATAGTGTGTTCTTTAAAGTTACAAGAAGAGGTTGTAAAGTATGTGTTTGCTACATAAAGCCTGTCAATTTATGTCAAGAGAGTCACAATCAGCGTTGATTTTGATTCGTGAAATTGACAGATTTTATATCAATTTATGTTGTAACTATCAAGTACGTTACATCATTCTAGCATCCAATGATTCCATAATTTAGAAAAACATTTTTTCGTAGCGAAATGAGTGGATGCAACCCTGGTCTAGAGCAAGCTCACATTCCTCCCATCAAACTAATCGATTCGATCCAATGCTGCTCATCACTATTGTTATTTATACAACCTTATCGCCGGACACGTGAGATATAAATAAAAGCATCAACCAACTGCCAGTAAGCGCTGGTTGCCCTGGGTTGAATGCCGTTGGCAGTGTCTTCCTCATCGCTTATCAGTTATTAGAAGTCGAGCCAACCGGCAGGATGGGCAAGCTACTGTGGTAAGTCGTTGCTGGGGATTTAGAATTAAGATCAATAATTTAGTTTTCGTACATTTTAAGGATTGCATTTTTGGGACTATTGAGCGGTGCTGTAATCGGCGATCATCTATCTATCTGCCAGCATCGTATCAACGTGAAGGAAGGCTTCTATGTGTACGATACGGATTGCAGCAACTACGATGATCAGGCCCTGGCAAAGGCCAACTTCAACGAAGATCGCGAACTTTGGATCCGGAACGGAACGATTGAAAACATTCAGCTGCTGTTGAACGGAAGCTTGTATAATATAACCCACTTGAAGATTACGAACTTTGCTGAAGAAGGAAGTACTCCAATTGCGGTGTTTCCGATTGATTCGATGCGTTTTTCGATTCTGGATTTGTCGAACAATGGAATAGAGCGATTGGAGATCAAAGAAGATGACTATCGTTTGACTCATTTGGATGTTCGAAAAAACAATCTGACGGAGATTGGAAACGTGAGACACCTAATCAAGCTGGAATCTTTGAAGGCGGATAACAATGCCATTGAAAGTGTATCTTTGGATGATTTCAAAAGCTTGTGGGATTTGTTGGTGCTTTCATTAGCCAGCAACAAAATAACGAGTATAACAGCGACGGAAGAGGTTGCTTTACTGAAGTTACGATCTATTGATATCTCAAATAACCAACTCACCACTTTGGATGTGTCGTTGTGGAAATTTCCTCAAGTGAGTACCTTCTACATGCACGATAATTCTTTGACCAGAATCGATGGACTTCGAGGGAAGTTTTCCAGAACGTGGGACATCTCTCTGGGAGGTCGAAACAATTGGGACTGTGCATGGTACGATAGGCTGCTTGAGTTCCTGAAGCAAGATCGTCAATTTGCCATGCAAATGTTCGGTGACAAGCCTGCCTGTCCGGATCAAACGAGAATGGACGGTTTCATTTGCTGCAAAAATTCCACCAATGTCATTAGCAACTAGTATAGCACATCACCGTTATTCAATAAAATTATACTCCTCGCTGAAAGATAGGTTATTGAGTCTATAAATAATCACTTTCCTCCTCAATCAACTATGGCGGTCGAATGGCGGCTATAAATAGAAACCTATAGCGTCTTCTCTTACACGTTCAAATTATCATGATAATTATGGCCCATTACATTGTCTACTTGCTGGTGTTTGCCCTTGCCAGATCGAATGCAATCGACTGTGGGATGGAGTTTCCAAGCGACGCGTCGCTTCCCGATGATAGACTATAATCATTTCGCTGTAATTGCTCATCGGCCTGCAACCAGCTCTGATGGAACGACCATAAGCACACGCGGTCATCTGGCAAGTGGGTCATAAATTATCAACAAGAACCTGAAGCTGGGGTACGGTTTCACCATGTAATTATGTGACAAAGTTTACGCGTTAATTTGCGTAAGCTAGTGGATTTCAGTCTTTTGGACTTTATTGATTTATGACCGGTGGTCATCTTCTCTAAAAATCATTTCAACAAATCTTCAATAGCTTCTGTATCACAACAAAGCAAATAATGCAAATTCTTGAATTCTTTCTACACTTTTCATGATCACCGGTAGTCAATCTTTTGTCTTTTTGCCAACTCTCTTTGAACTCAAAAATCGAGTGGAAATGAACTTACGGAATAGTTGAGTAAATGTCTTCTACATAAAATCATGTCTTGTTTGCTTTCTTGAGTATCACCTATAGCACCATCTTGTACCCGTGCTATGCAGTGTGGTTTCCGATGGTCTTATCTTCCGTCGTCCACCATCACCGCCCAGCATCGGTTGTGGCCGTTCACTGTGCAGACAATGTGCGATATTGCTAACTTTTCGGGGTGCTGCATGGTGGCCGCTCAGAAGAAATTGAATCTGACTCCAAGGGGTCCACAACTGATTTTATTTCACTTACAAATGAGTAACAACAATTACCTTAATAAATATTGAATAGATTTGGATTAATGTTGCTGCACCGGATGCTGATCGTTCGGAAATACGATGACAGCCTTGTGATGGAAACTACCTAAAATATGCATAAGTTTTATCACATATGATAGAATATTAAGAAACAGGATTGATTGATCATTTCGAAGCAAGAGCTGACAGCCATTCAGATCAATATTTAATTACAAGATTGTTAGTAATCAATTGATAATACAATTTCATCAGTTTTAAATACATACTAAATACCTCAGCGATCAAATGAACCCCGCTGGTCAATCTTACGGTAGTAAAGGTAAGAAAGCTTCCGCACCGTTTTTAGAGGCGATGAACCTGCAAACGAATGAAAATTCGATCGCCGACGAATCGTCGGTTTGCTTAAAGTGAAAAGTTAGCAGGCACCTCCTGTCCTGGAAAAAAGCGCTCTACAGTCATCGTTCGGCGTGTAGGCATTGTTCAAACCATCCGAAGCCAGTGCCTTAATGTGATGGCCCGGTAAGAGCCAGCATCAATATCTGCAATTATAATTGCATAGTAACCATAAGGAAGAGTTTTTTTTTATGAGTCGTGATCACAAGGCGGTGCCCAAATGTAACTCTTAGCAGGATGGCCCAATGTAGCTACCTTGGTCATCCATTTGAGTTGGATTCCCGTCTGTAATAATCCTGCTACAGTAAATGCGGTGAACTATACAAATTCGAAGCTTGCAAAATGATGCAGCAGGCTGACCCCAAATGCGCTAGCTGTGAGACATCACTTTACCCTTCCCTAACCCCGTGCCACCTATTGACCCCTTTGTCATCATGTCCATTCGACCTTTTGTACCTTCGAAGTTTTGTCCTTTCGACCTTTTGTGATTCGACATTTTGTCTTTCGACCATTTGTCGTACAATCACTCAAAAGATGCTCAACAGAGCTTTGGTCTCCGCTTTCAAAACTGGTCAATATTTCATTAAATACAACAAGGTGAATTTCCTTCTTGTTGGAAATCCTCGTCCAATACTGATAAAAATCATGTCTTCCACGCTCAACATAGCTGAAAATGAAGACAACCTTAACAAGGCCAACTACCTGCATAAATTTGAATTTTGACATAACAACATTTTCTTGATCGAGGCAACCTCTGAGTATCGAAGTCAACATTTCGACAGTGAGCATTCATAAGGGCCAATACCGCAAATGTAATCAAACTGAATTTTTACTACTACACTGTTGTGTGACAAAAATGCTCCATTGTAGTACCGAAATTTCTTAAAAATATGTTTCTATCAAATTTATTTTTAAGGAAAACAAAATGGCGAATGCATTTTTTTACTGTGATCAGTTTTCTTGAATACGCCCTTTTTCCTCTTGTGTATCGCCGGGGTGAAACTGTCATTTTGCAAGTGCGCATGGTAAATGTTTTTTTTTTCATCTTGTGTGGCTACAAAAACTTGTGATAAATTGTAAATTAAACAGTTTTGTTGTTTATAATTCCAATATCATATTCCAAAACGATATGGCGTTCTAAAATATGGATTTTTCAAAAATTCAGATGCTTTTAAGTAAGTTAAATAAAATATGATTGGTTCTAATACTGAATACTAAATAAAAACCACATTAATCGCTACAGATGCATCTGCACTCATTTTCTATATTCTGATACGGTTCCATATGCTGATGCATCTTTTAGCAACATCCATACTTCTTCACCAAAAAGTTTGAAGCTCCAAAATCGGGAACCCATACATGGATGGTCTTTCTGTAGGCAAAACAGCTGCACCATCACTAGAAAGGTCACGAGGTTTTATCGATTCACCTCCTCTGAACCGTTCGTGCACCGCACATAACACACCTCCAGGTAAATTTTGACAAAAAAATCATTGTATATTTTATTGATTACAATTAACATTGTAGGGTGCTCGCCTCGGTGTTTGCACTGAATCACCAGGTGCCCTTGTCAATCTCGATTCACATTACGAATCGTTAACGAAAGTCGAAACGGAAGCCGAAAGACGAAGGATTGAAATTGAAAATGAAAGACAATGGGTAGTTTCATTCGAGCTACCTTCGAGATGTCGTTTGATGCATCCAACGACCTGTTCGTTGGAGGACGAAGCGTTGATGCGGAAGCTTTGCAGCAGTCACGTGATAACATCGGCTTCGATTCAAGGTACGCATCCTTCGCTGAGTTCAATTAAAAGAGCCAAATAACTGGAATGTCACGTGATCATATCGGTTCCGGTCAACGATACAGAATATATGCTCAATCGGGCAGACAGAGGGATATTGCTGAAATGTCGCAGTATTTCTTTGGCCCCGATCCAATAAACAGATTGCTCGGTGAGCTCCATAGAGAAGAAGAAGCCATTGAAACGCTACGTGATTTCATCGGTACCGATTTGAGGAATCGGCCAACGACTGCACCCGATAGGCAGCGGGAATTCAAAGAAACTTCGTGTACCGTGATGTAATAACCACCCGAAGTCAACTCTTGGTCGTACTCTCTCGATAGCATAAAGATGACATGCTTGTGGAACAGAAAATTCATTTAGTGGAAACTGCACGGTGCCACGAGGCAGTGCTTTAAAAAGTCATCTGGTCTGCACATTTTATTGATGGAGGAGCTTTGGAATGATGTTGGTAGTTCGAAGACAGACAGCATCCCCCCTTCCAGCGTTCCCACACCCCAGTATAGTCCCCAAATTTAAGTGTAACTGTGACAAGTCCGCATCGTGCTCTCTTGCCGTGCGGATCTATTTGCTTTTTGCTGAAGGAAGTGTTACTACTACCTAAAGCTACAACAAATTTAAACAGCACTTTTCAGTGCTCAACCTGTAAAAATTTTTCTACCTTGTTCAACTCTTATTCCTCTTCGATCCTTGTTTGGACCCTACCCGAGGTAATCCTTCTTGGATATCGATTTGGAAAATTCCTCTTCGATCCTTCAGATTCTTATAGTAATCTGCTTGGAAGTCGATTTGGATAAAAATTTACTGCCGCCATGGCGCCTAAACGCAAAAGAAAGGGGCAAACTCTTGACCCCCCTTCTGATGAAATTAATTTGAGTAATCAATTTGATTTGCTCACGGATGATGAGAATGATCCATCATCCAAGAAAAATTCTAGTAAACTTTCCCGGCTTAATGCCAAGAAGGAAAAGATTCCCCCTATTGTGATAACCACTACCGATTTCCATGCTCTTCGCATGGAACTTTTGAATTTCGTGAAAGTTAAGTTTTCACTACAAATTGGACGTCGGGGTGAATGCCGTGTATTGGCTGAAACCTTGGACGGATTTAAATGTCTTCTCAAGTATCTTACTGAGAAGAAGCACAAATTTTTTACTTACGACACCAAAACTGAACGTGTGTTCAAGGTTGTCATGAAAGGACTGCCCAGTGGTGAATCCCTGGATCAGATCAAAGATGAACTGGCAAAATTACTTGGAGTTGTGCCACTCCAAGTAATCAAAATGAAAATGAAATCCCGTCCTGGCGATTCGCGCAACGGGATTTCTAATGATTTTTATTTAGTTCACTTCAAGTCTAGTGAACTAAACAACCTTAAGGCCTTAGAAAAAGCTAGCCTTATGCTCCATGTCCGAGTGAAGTGGGAACACTTCAGGAAGACTGGAGGAAATTTCCAAAACCTCACCCAGTGCCGTAAGTGCCAGGGATGGGGTCACGGAACTAAAAATTGCTACATGCCAGCTAAATGCATGAATTGTGGTGATTCCTCTCACGCAAAGGACGACTGTCCTGTGAAGGAAGATCCTAAGAAATTTAAATGTTCAAATTGTGGTGAAAACCACAAATCCAATTTTTGGGAATGTAAGACTCGCAAAGCGATCCTACAATCTCGTTCTAGCCGTCAGGTAGGAAACGCTCCACGTTTCCGACCAGGTACAAATTCCTCTGCTGTTAACAACGGTCAGCGAGGAACAAATTCTACATTCGTACCCGTAGGTACAAATATCTCCCCTGCTTCAAATGTTTCATCTGTACCTACTCCCCTCGCTGCTAACAATGTTCAGCGAGTTAATGGAGCTACCTATGCTGCTATTGCAGCGGGTAGAAATCAAAATACTAACCAACGTTCT